CCCCAAAACCCCAAAACCCCAAAACCCCAAAACCCCAAAACCCCAAAACCCCACTCAAGACCTTAAAATTGAAGTGTTTATATAATTAAATAATTTATTATGAGCGACGAATACGTGATTGAGTCTAAAGCAGACAAGTCTGAGTCAAAGACTGCCGACTGGCCATTGTTGTTAAAAGATTATGACAAGTTGAATGTCAAAACTGGTCACTTTACTCCTCTTCCAAATGGATACTCCCCAGTTGCTAGACCAATTGATGAATTGAAGAATTATGGAGTGATTAACCTCGACAAACCAGCCAATCCAAGTTCTCACGAAGTTGTCGCATGGGTGAAGAAAATTTTAAAAACTGAGAAGACTGGCCATAGTGGTACTCTTGATCCTAAGGTAACTGGATGCCTCATTGTCTGCATCAACAGAGCCACCAGACTAGTTAAAGCCCAGCAGTCTGCTGGTAAAGAGTATGTTGCCATTGTGAAGCTTCATGCTCCAATTGAGAATGAAAGTATCCTCAATAAGGCTCTCGATAAGCTCCAGGGATCTGTTTTCCAGAGACCTCCTCTGATTTCTGCTGTCAAGAAGGTTCTCAGAGTCAGAACTATCTATGAGAGTAAGCTTATTGAGTACGATGCTGAGAAGGAAATGGGTATTTTCTGGGTCTCCTGTCAAGCAGGAACTTACATTAGAACTCAATGAGTCCACGTCGGTTACTACACTGGTACTGGAGCTCACATGCTCGAGCTTAGAAGAGTCAGAAGTGGAGCTTTGAAAGAAGACGAAACTATGGTCACCATGCACGATGTAATGGATGCTCAATGGATGTACGACAACTTCAATGATGAATCATATCTTAGAAGAGTCATCATGCCACTTGAAGTGTTGTTGGTTGGATATAAAAGAATTGTAGTAAAAGATACTACAGTCAATTCTATCTGATATGGAGCCCAGCTCATGCTTCCCGGAGTTCTTAGATACGAAGAAGGTATCGAAATCGGCAAAGAAGTTGTTCTGATCACAACCAAGGGAGAAGCTATTGCTCTTGCTATTGCTCAGATGACTACTTCTGTCATTGCAACCTGTGATCATGGTACAGTTGCTAAAATCAAAAGAGTAATCATGGACAGAGATCTATACCCAAGAAAGTGGGGTCAAGGACCATATGCCTTGAAGAAGAAGCAGTTCATCACCGAAGGTAAACTGGACAAATACGGCCGCTCCACCGAAACCACCCCAACCGTCTGGAAGGAACTCTTCGAAAACCCGAACAAGTCCGTCAAAGTCTTGGAAGTCGAAAGCGACGAGACTGCACAGAAGCTGGTCCAGGAAGAGGAGAAGGCTCAGGAGCAACAGGCTGAGCAGGAGTCTGCAGATCAAGAAGTTCAAGACGAACAGCCAAAGGAAAAGAAGAGCAAGAAATCAAAGAAAGAGAAGAAAGAGAAGAAGGAAAAGAAAGAAAAGAAGAAGAAAAAGAAGGCAAAGGACAGTGATGATGAGTAATCATATTTTATTATTAAAAATAAATCAACTAAAGCAACTGGATCCGGGGTTTTGGGGTTTTGGGGTTTTGGGGTTTTGGGGTTTTGGATCTTTGTTTCCATTTATTGCAATTTTCTGATAGTTTAGATTGAAAGGTAGACTCCCCCTTTTCATCGTTCAATTTAAATTATATATTTTGGGGTTTTGGGGTTTTGGGGTTTTGGGG